GGAAATAGAGCTCTCAAACTGGGCACATGGTTCCCAAACTGGGAATGGAGTCCCCAGACTGGGAGAGAGGTACCCAAACTGGGAATGGGGTCCCAAACTGACCACACAGTCCCCAAACTGGGAAAAGGCTCCCCCAAAGGGAGAGTGGCATCCCCAAACCGGGTACACAATTGCCAAACTGGGAATGGGGTCCTCAAACTGGGAATGGGGTCCCCAAACTGGGAACAGGATGCTCAAACTGGGCACACAGCTTCCAAACTGGGAATGGGGTCCCCAAATTGGGAATGGGGTCCCCAAACTGGGAACAGGATCCCCAAACTGGACACAAAGTTCCCAAACTGGGCACACAGTTCCCAAATTGGGGATGGGGTCCCCAAACTGGAAATGGGGTCCCAAAAATGGACACGTGGTTTCCAAACTGGGGTTGGGGTCCCCAAACTGGGCACACAGTTCCCAAACTGGGAATGGGGTCCCCAAACTGGGATTGGAGTCCCCAAACTGGACACATGGTTTCCAAACTGGGAATGGGGTGCCCAAACTGGGAACAGGATCCCCAAACTGGGCACAGAGTTCCCAAACTGGGCACACAGTTCCCAAATTGGGGATGGGGTCCCCGAACTGGAAATGGGGTCCCAAAAATGGAAATGGGGTCCCAAAAATGGACACGTGGTTTCCAAACTGGGGTTGGGGTCCCCAAACTGGGCACACGGTTCCCAAACTGGGAATGGGGTCCCCAAACTGGGAACAGGATCCTCAAACTGGGCACACAGTTCCCAAATTGGGGATGGGGTCCCCAAACTGGGAATGGGATCCCCAAACTGGGAATGGGATCCCCAAACTGGGAATGGGGTCCCCAAACTGGGCACACAGTTCCCAAACTGGGCACACAATTTCCAAACTGGGAATGTGGTCCCCAAACTGGGCACACAGTCTCCAAACTGGGACCCTGTGGGAGCTCTCTGGGACAGGGAGTGCTGCAGCCGAGGGACCTTCCTGTCCCTTCCCGGGCCGGATCCGGTGACTGGTGGTGACTCAGGACGGGCCACGGTCACATCCTGTCCCTCTCCCCCGTGTGCCCCCGGCCTGGCACGGCGCCCCAAAACCTCCCGTGGGCACCGGGGCTGCAATCCCGGGGCTCAGCAGGTTTGGCCTCGGGGGTCGGACTGGCACCAGGGACCGGCTGTGCCAGCAGGATGGAGCTGCTGCCAGGGCTGGGTCACCTCCTGTCCCTGCTGGGGTGCGGATGGGTGTCCCAAAATCGGGCAGGGGGTGCCCTGTCCTTGGCTCATCCCCTTCCCAGCCTGGGATCAACGCGGGGGTTGGGGAACATCGCCCCAGGGATTGGAGATCGTTACCCAAGGGATGTGGGGACACCCCCCCCCGCCAGGGATTGGGGGAGCATCGCCCCAGGGGGATTCATCTTCCCCCAGGGACCCCAAAATCCTGCCCGCGCGCTGACGGACGGCCCCAGGCACACATTCCCGGCGGGACTGCCCCCGGGCTCGGCCTCAGGAATCCGCGCCGCCCCGGGGTTGGCAGCAGCTGTCGCAGCGCTGGGGAGCGGGTGCTGCTGGTGGTGGTGGGGGGGTGGGGGGTTTGGGGTCGCGACCCGGCAGCTGGGCGAGCCCCCCAAAGCGGGGCAGAGCTGATTATAGCCCGCGGGAGCTATTCCCGGGGCTCTGACCCGGGTGAAGGGCGGGCGAGAGGGTGGCCGAGCCGCCCCCCCGGCCCCCTGCACATCCCTGGGGG